TTCAGATCGAGTCTTTTAAAACCTGATATTATGAAAATTTAACAATTTTCTTATGCATGCAAAGATATGTAAGTTTTAGATTTGTGGCGTTATCAAAACAGATAACAGCTCGGATGATCGAGTTGTTTAGATCATTTAGGATGGAGCAGTGAGTTGGGGGTTCCGAAACTCGTAACAAGATGTGATAATTCTGGTCGAAATCAGCTAAGTGGCCTGGGTGGTTAAGAATCGGCGACAGGCCGACGGAGATGACACCGCTACATTAGAAGAGTTGTACTAATGTGCGATGTCAAATGTTTGAGTGTGACAACAATAACAATCTAAATTACTATTATGAACATTTTGGCTGTACTGGGATTTGTTCCGAAGGTAAACGAAAAAATTTTAAGCTTCCGAGAAAATGTTACTATTAAAGTTTATTTGACATATTATATTATAACTTATCAGAACGTCTGATTTAATATCAATAAAGGTTCACTACATCTCATCTTATTGATTAGAATCGAAAAAGGAATGAAGGAGTGAGGAGAATAGGGCGAGTTTTATTCATTGAATTTGTTACAATTCAGCAGCTGAGAAAAATTTTTACAAATCAAGATCGTGACTCTGATGATAAAATCTATTCTAATGCAAACGATTTCGGAATAAGGGTCATTATTTTAATTGATGATGGGCTTCACACTTATACCTTATAAAAAAGAACTTCAGAACATGGAAAAACTACTTATGAAAAGGATTTCTACAGATCCATGCATTAAAGATCGAGAAAATTATAGGGAATCAGGGCAAGAAAGTAATTATTAATGCAGGGCTATAATCTTATATCTTATTAAAACCAATTTCAGGACGGAGAAAAGAATAGTAATGAAAAAGGATTTCTACGGGACCATTAAAGTTCGATAAAAAGTGTAGATTCGTGACAAAACTTTTTTTTGAACTTTAGCGGTAGAAGGAGGCGCGACGAGCGTCTATTATAGATACTCTCTTGTACGATAACTGTAGGTCATCTACATAGGAAGTGCACAATTTTTAGCGCCTTTTCTCTTTATAGAAAAAATGCACTATTGTGCTCGCCATGTCCGTCTGTCCGTCCGTGACTTCACGTTTTCGTCGATTTTAAGAAGCGGGCATGCCCGTATCAAAGATACGACATCTCTAGCTCTAATGCACTGTACTAATCGCAATGAAAACTGATTTATGCACGAGAAAATGCGCTGTCTGTCACTCACTGCCGTGAGTACTGAGTTATATTTTTTCTACCAATTTTCTACTAGCAGTGACCACCACTGTTATTACTACTATCTATTCTGCAGGATTCTGCAGGATTATCTATTCTGATTATCTATTCTGCAGGAGCATATGTTCAGTCTTAAAATGCCTAGCAAATTACGGACCAGGCAATAAGTCCAGCAGCTATCTCAATCAATCGTCAGCTATAGAAAGATCGGGTTCCAAAGGCCGGATCCCTTGTGAATCAAGTCACGAAAAGTTCAAGAATCGGCAACAGGCCATGGGCCTATTTCTTCAGTGCCGACACTTCTATTATATTCTATGAACAAGAATCGGCAACAGGCCATGGGCCTATTTCTTCAGTGCCGACACTTCTATTCTATTCTATACTACTGCCATTTATAATGATGCTCTTATTATTGCGCTCTTACTACAGTTATTTTTAGTACAGGTCTCATTACTACTGCTGTTCATACAACTGCCGCATTACTGCTACAGCTATATATATAGCTGCCACTTCTTTTCCTGATCTAGATCTCTAGAATTGCTGACATATGGTGAAAACCAAGAAACTCTACAAATGCACGATGCGATGTCAAGTAAAATCTATTTTGATGATATTTATGCGATCATTCAGATAGTTCTTAATTGCTCACTTATGGGACTTGAAAATATAAGAAAAAAGTCCTACTCTTCAAATAAATGAATCTTGTACTTAGCCGACGAACAGGCAGAGATTTTTCGACAAAGAAACAAACGATTTCGTTGGCAAAAGTAAGACTTAACTATATTTTTACTTAAGTAATCAAATTCTCCTCACAAAAGACAAAGCTTTCTGTTAGAAAATACAAATTAAATCTTGCAATGACATTTGGTTACAAGTTCTCTTTGACCTCCTACATGAGACAGACTTGAGCCACTACCATTTAATAGACTCAAACTCTTCAAAAATGTGGCACCTAATACTTCGTTTAAACTCGCTGAACCGTGGCGAACTGTTCATATCTCATGCAATGTAAACTATGAGACAAAAAAAAAAAACAGACAGAGAACCGCGGAGAACCAAAAAACAGAGAACCGCGGAGACAAAAAAAAATCACACAGTAGTTAAATCTTCGTCAGTTATCAATCTCCAGACATCTATTTCTTACAAATTCTACAAGATATTGCAAAAATATATTATTACAATTTTCTAGTTGAGCAAATAACACATTTCCGTTCATACGTGACTTTGGGATCGTAATACCTGTTGGTTGAGAATCCATTGCTGTTTATAAGCGAATTGGGAATCGTATTACCTGTTGGTTGGAAAGGCATTGCTGCTTGTAAGTAGATGAGAAATCGTAATACCTGTTGATTTAGAAGGCATTGCTGCTTGTAAGCGAATCAGGAATCGTAATACCTGTTGGTTTAGAAGGCATTGCTGCTTGTAAGCGAATCAGGAATCGTAATACCTGTTGGTTTAGAAGGCATTGCTGCTTGTAAGCGAATCAGGAATCGTAATACCTGTTGGTTTAGAAGGCATTGCTGCTTGTAAGCGAATTAAGAATCGTAATACCTGTTGGTTTAGAAGGCATTGCTGTTTGTAAGCGAATTAAAAATCGTAATTTCTGTTGGTTTAGAAGGCATTGCTGTTTATAAGCGAATTAAGATCGTAATTTCTGTTGGTTGGGACCGCATTGCTGTTTGTAAGCGAATCAGGAATCGTAATATCTGTTGGTTTAGAAGGCATTGCTGTTTGTAAGCGAATTGGGAGTCGTTGCTCCTGTTGGTTAAAGAGTCATGCAGGGAAATGTAGTTAACAAAACAGTTTTGAATTCCTGATTAGAAGGCCCACAACTTTTATGTCTCATTTATTCTGAAGTGCAGTCGGGAACAATCTACAAATGTCGCAAAATCAACGGGATTTGGAGTTTTCCTCATGGTGATCGTTTTTAAAGTATCAAAAGTGGGCTTGGTAGTGCTTGCCAGAATTTATAGCGAGCCTAAATAGCATCTAATTTTAATGTAGCTACACTCATAAATTCGTAGCAGCCTACCGGTGATATTTAGATTTAAAAAAAATTAAATTTTGACTTCTCTTGCGAGCTATGAGTATTTTAATATATTTTTCAGTTTAACTGACTTAATGGCGCAGCCCGAGCCCCAGAGTTGAAGATAATTAAATCTGACGTTATTATTAGGTTGCTATATTTTAAGAACCTTTTTCCATTATTACTTCTATAATTCGTGAGGGAAGTCGAAATAAAAAAAAATTCTCATGACTTTACCATCATCGGGTATCTGTATTGTTATACATTCATGTACCATGTTTCCCTAGAATAAGAGACGGTGCTAAAAAATGACCGACACGTGAGATTGAAGGGAACTCAGGTACATATTTATTTCTACAACCGCCTGCGAACGAAGAACTATAATTTTTGGAACTCACCCTTGAGCGCTGCAAGCCCCAGATTTACATATCATTTAATTTAAATCAGGAGTAATCATCATCAATACGCCGCAATAGAAAATATAATAGAATTTTTGCAATTATTTTGTATATAAATAGGACAAAACTTACGAAAAATAAGGCTAATATAGGTTAGGTTTGGATAAGTTTAGCTAGGATTAGCTACGTTAGACCATTACAATTTAATAATAAACAGCCTAATCTAACCTATCCTAATATATCCTAAGCAAATTTTTTGAACTCTCCGCTTTAATTAAAATGTCGCAAAAATCTGTAATAATTCTCATCTAGGCCTATTGCTAACTTTTAGCTATGTAATAAATTTTAGGAAGATCCCTTCAGAATTGAGGGACTTACTAGCTGATCGGTTGTGCAAAAGTTGTGTTTTTACAACACTTCTCTTTAACTTCACTTCTTGTCTGTCTGTCTGTCTGTCTGCTACAAATCTTATAATCGATATTTAACACACTTCTACCTTTCCAATCGATCTGAAATTTGGCACACTTGTGTAAAGTTGGAGACAATGCATGAATCAAATGTCAAAATAAAAGATTTTAAAAAATAAAAAAAATTTTTTTTTCAAGTTTAAAAAAATTGAAAAAATAATTTTGTCAGCTACAAATCTTATAACTGATATCTGACACACTTTTACCTGTCTGATTGATCTGAAATTTTGCACACTTGTGTGAAGTCAGAGGCAATGCATGAATCAATTAATAGAATAAATAATTTTGAAAAAATTTATATATTAAAAAAATTATATTTACCTATTAAAAAATGTAAAAATAAATTTTTTTAATTTTCGAAAATTAGATGAGAAATTCATTGTACATCTGTAAGATTGAAGATACTGGATTCTTTGGAAGTGTTGTCTTTAAAAAGTAATTTTTAAACGTATATTATTTCATTTTAATTGAAAACAAAATGACGTAAAATTCTGTAATAAATCCTATCGTATCACGTGACGTATCATATGTCTAGATTTAGCTTCACTTTCAGAGCCGCAATAAAACATTAATTAAGAATCTCATTTGATTTTACGCAACAGGAAACTCGTCAACATTACAAGATCAAAATAAACCGCAAATTTATATTAGTTGAAATATCTTTAATGCGCCAAAATACACAAACTAAAAATTTCCCTGCTTTATTTGAAAAAGCTTAAATTATTCAGACACGAAACAAAATTATTCTAGCTTCTCTGAGCTGATTCACTTCAAGATTATGAAAATAGCTCTCCAAGGTCTTTCGAGGGTAACATTCTAAGCCGACCTTAATTTCTCATTCGAAGTTAATATGTTGAATGGAGTCCGTCAGAAGTCACAACCACGGACACGCTGTTTCTGTTCAGAACAAGCGCAATCTTTTAACAAAGGTGAGTTAATGAAAGAATAGGAATTAAATTGTGGTGCTATAGTGCTGAGCGTAGCAAATTTTGATAATTAACCAATGTGAGTTTATTGGAAGTATAGGAATTTAAATTGTGGTGCTATAGTGAGGAGTGTAGCAAATTTTGATAAGTGATATGGACATGCGAAGCTAGAAATGGTGTTGTTCTTCCTTGCCTGATGGTCATATCTGTATGCAGTCGGTTGGTCAAGGTAGTGAAGTGTCTTTCGGCCCGCATTGCTCGTCCAATTCTATTCGTAGCATGGCATGTTAAGGCAGATCAATTCTATTCGTAGCATGGCATGTTAAGGCAGATTTGGTAGCCGTAGTGATTGGTTTCTTACTTTTGTACACGTAGGTTAATAGCATTGAATGCAGTGCGTTCAATAATTATTGGAGGTGCAGATGTAATCTAAATGGAGCTTTAAATCTGCTTTACATAACCTTCTTCAGATGGATCGCCGCCAATGTAGTTGCAACCTGTCGCCGCAGAGTATGGATGCCACTGCCCGTTCTTGCAGGCGTTGTTCAGGTCACAGGATTGATGCCGGCGGCGACGAAACCGCTGGACTCTTGGAAAGCTTAAAGGCCTTGGTAGAGTTAGTACCTCTACCTTACGCTGGTTGCCTGAGGAAGCTTCGGTCTAGAAGTACATCTGATGCGGTGGTCTACCAGCAGGCATATTCTGAACCTTCCGGAGCGAGTAGTTCGGCTGCATTGCCTAATACGGGGCCCTCTGGTAGAAGAGATCGTCCAAACCGTGAATTTCGAATGGCTACATACGAACCCAGATTGCCATCGGAGATTGGTAATTTTGTCAATCGAGAGAGGAGCCATCAACGCGGTGTACCCACAGGTCCCGACGGGGATGGCCATCAAAGCAGCTCGAGTCGGGGAAGCGAAGACGAGGCGGCAGTGGCCGCAGCTTATGAAGACCTGCGGAATGCAGTTAGAGGCTACACTAATGAGAGGGTGGACGACGAATTTGATCTCGTCTGCGCGGCCAGTCAGTACATTAAATCCATGATGCAAACCCTGAAGGATATGCAAGACCGAAAAGAGAGCCCTGCCACTCCGTCAAGCAACAGTTCAGCGAATACTGAAGCAGGGGAGCCGATGGCGTGAAACCTCGCATGTGACGGTGTTCGCATCCTGTAATTTTAACCTTATTTAGACTCCTTCTTCTAGGCGATACGTTTTACCTATGGAATCGCCATAATTAATGTGCGTAATGTAAATTTTAGCCATGGTGCAGTGTCCGATTTTCTCCTTAATATTAAAAATTTCCCTACCTTGCTTCTTAACATCCTTGCATCCAAGATGTATTTGCACCTTTCTTAGCTGATAGCTATAACTGCGCTTCTTAATATTCTCCTAATTTGGCTTCGCTCGTTGCGTAACTCCTGGAGCGATTATAGGTCATTACCGGAATCAATCATGCGAGCAACCTTGACCTTCTATAATCCGCGCCACGTGAGCAACCGCAAACTTGAGTATGGTCCAGATATTTCACGCACTACATTTCGAGAACGAATGCTGGCTGAATGCCCACGGTGAGGTTCAGTTCAGTTGCAGCACAAATGCTTGGGTCGTGGAGAACTATTTGAGGCCTTGTAAAGGTCCCTCCAGTTGGATTCGCTTGTTCCTTCGGTGCTTTCGTGGTTCTATGAAGCTATTGATTACATTGCATGGGGCCCTAGTGACTTGCTAAACTGGTAAATTTCTAGAGAATTCTTGCATCGCCTAGAACAATTGATAATGTTCGGAAATAATTTGTTAGCCGAAGTATAGTTTAACTTCTGTCAGAAGAAGAAAGACAGTAGTGAATGTGTGTTCCTAGACCTGAACTAAACCCTAAACGGAGCAGGTCAAAGGAGTCATTCTAGGTTTGAGTAATTTATGGGTTAATTCTATGTACTGCTTATACCAGTCTACTTAACTCGATTTGGGAAAACTGTGCCGAGTAGTACTTGACGCGAACTGCCGATGACTGTGGTGGAAAGAGGTAAGGATTTCAAATGATTACACAATTGTTAGAAGTTAACAATTGAATAAGGGGCAAGTGACTGATCCACAAGAGAACTAAAGGCGTAAATTAGTCACTACCGGCAGATATTAGCAATATTCTGCGGTGCTGACATAGCGTTCAATTGCTGTTATGATTAACGGGAACTGGAACGGCGTTCGTGGGCATGCGACAGTCGACTAGTTCTTCGTTGCGTGGACCTTAGCTTAGCACGACGCGCGCGGGCGTCAGGCGTCAAATTCTACGCCGCGTTAAAAGCAGTGTGAAGAGCAGTGCACATTTCGTATGTCCGCTAAGGTTCGACGGTAAATACCGTCGGACGCTGGCGGTATTTACTGCCTTGTGTGAAAGGGTCCTTAGTGCGCTTCGAATAAGATGAACTATCCCTATGGTTGAACTAAATTTTCACCATGAACAATCCCTACGTTCGATTTGTTATCCTGCATCGGCATATTACGCCATTTTGAGGGGAGTTAAGCTTGTACAGGCTGTATTTAAGTGATGTGGCGATCTCATGCATCACAACTGTTGTGAAATGCTATAATTTTATTTGAAACTTATAAGACATACTTTGTAACGCTATTTTTCTCGCGGAAAAGTTCACAGTCGAGACCTGGTTGGGCATATATGAACAGATTTCGCTAGTTTTTTGGAGCACGAAAAGAATCTTCCTCTGTATATTCGCTTTAACGGTTGGTCACAAATCCTCGTTTAAACTTGAACATTTTTGAGAATTGTAAAATCAAAGGGCTTTGTTAATTTTAGTGCACAATCCCGATATCCAACAGTATGTCTTCGAATACACAAACGAGGTCAAAATAATGAAATTTTTGCTACTCAAAATAATTCAAGGATGCCAAACAGTTAATTAAAACACGAGTTCCAATAATGTAATTATTATTATGTTTGAAGGTAATTTGTATCTAAACCATCCGTATTAATTTATAGCTTTACTTAATTCGTAATTATGTGCAAGATATGTGTTTTTCGCCCAATACTTGCCGTGTAATAACTGCTTTCGGCTTCTCAGCGAGACCTCACGCGCTTGAAGGCACAACTTTCCTAACAGCCTCCGGCAGTAAGTTACTTGTATTTATTTCTGCAGACCGGAATTAACGTTCGCATGTGTTAAGGTTAAATTTCCATTGTGTTTGAGTATCAACTAATTTTCACAACGTTATATGATGCTGGAATACTCAACTGCTCCACACACGTCTCTTCCTTCCGTAGGCAGTAAATATTGTTGTCGTTTTGTGTTCGTAAACTTCATAACGTATCTCAAAATCATAACCGTTGATATGTGATATTAGCAACTCTTTCTGCTGCAAATACCTCCGACTTCTCTTCATCACCGTCTATAACTTTCTCATTCAAAGTTCCAACATCCAGAATTTCCAGTGAGGGTGGTAGTATCGACCCAAATCCATATCATTTTGGACCTAAAAAAATTAAAATATTCATAATAAGATTGATGATTAACTCTAGATTGATTCATGGATAATTCTGCTCAATGAAAATGAGCCTTTTCAAAGCTTCGTTTTTAGCGCATTCCCTCAGTTATGGGAAAAATGCCCTATTATGCTCGTCATGTCCATCCGTCTGTCTGTCCGTCCGTGACTTCACCTTTTCGTCGACGAGAAAATGCGCTCTCTGTCATTTACTGCAGTGAGTACTAAGTTATATTTTTTCATCTTGATATAAAGTTGCAGAGTACTATTAGCTAAGCCATAATTTAGTCAGCATCATGTACGGAATCTCTGTAACATATTACAAACAAACACTATCCTTTTTCCAATAACAAAATCGGAGGCAATTGATTGACAATACGTTCGGATTTTTACATTGGTGAAACACCTCATCCCCTAAGTATGCATTCAGAGCGAGAGGAGTGGTGAGAATATACTTTTTACCTCCATATTACACGAGAAAACGATACACACTTTACTTTCTAGTAAAGTGTCCGAATAGTCACCGTCGAAAGAATCGCCGTGTCCGAATAGAACGAGGTCACTTGATCGGCACCGTAGAATATTTGATAATTGACATACGCTGTATTAGTACACCGGCTTATAAAATGAAACATCTGGAGTATTTACAGCTCCCGAGTGACATTCTCCATGCTGAAAGTGATATCCAAGTTCACTGGCGTCTAGGTCATTATAGGTGTATGATGAAAATAACCGTCAAAAGCGCATGTTCCGTCGAAGCCTTGTACAATGAATGTACGTTTCTTTAAGATTGAATTTTTTACAACGGTTAAACTATAGATTTTTTCCAACTATGACAATAAACTCGATCAATAATTTTGCTATGAATCAAATTGTTTCATGCCATTCTGGTGAACAATAATTCTTAATAATATGCGTTCAAAAATTACTTTTTATTAAGGACAACACTTCTAAAGAGTCCAGTGTCTCCGATGTTACACTTGTACAATGAGTTTTTTTTACTTTATTTCCATATATTTAACAAATTATTTAAACAATTTTCTTTTAATATATAATATTTTTTTATTATATAAAAAATTTGATTTTTTTACTTATTCGATCTGTCAATTGATTCATTCATGCATTGTCTCTGACTTTACGCAAGTGCGCAAAATTTTAGATCGATTGGACAGGTAGAAGTGTGTTAAATGTCAATAACAAGATTTGTAGCAGGCATACAAGAAGTGAAGTTAAAGAGAAGTGTTGTAAAATGAGTTCAATTCTAAAATTATACGGTTCATCGAAGTTCGAATCGAACGTCAAAGCCACCCACAGCCTGTAAAATAATTGTTATAAATCTGTGTTAAAGCTTCAATGCACATTTTATCTTAGAAAATCGCTTACACACGAATGAACCCATCATTATATGGTTAGGTAACTTTATATATTAAAACTTATCCTCTGTAATGTAAGCTGTTCCCAGTTGAACTATATATAACATAATTATTTATTTCAGTTTACGCTATAAATTTTCTATACTATCTTTCGTAAAAAACTATTACTGGTGCAAACTAATCCAAAATTATTCATGTTAATTTCTGTTTATTTTAAAACGATTAAATAATTTTAATAATGTATATATAATTTTATACGATAATTTTCAATTAGTTTATGTAGATAATAATGGTTTACGTGGATTTTTTTTAATTACGCGTTAAAGTGTTTTTCCTAAAGCAACGTGTCTACCCTGCAACAGTGGGCTAATCCGGTACCCCTGTATTATGTGGTGCTGTTGACTGAAACTCTCGAACGGGACACGCAGGATGACCTGATGCTACTCGGATGACGACTAACATTCAAAGAAAATTTTGGTCATTCCGACTACCGACAGCATTTTTTTTTTGCCTTGCTGCTTTTGCTACCTGCCTCATTGGCTAAAATAATTATTAGTAAAATTAATAATTAATGTATTTATTTAAAAGGTTTATTATTTAATATATTCATTATTTTCTTTATTATATGTATATATTCATTCTAATCGGGAATATTCGTTTGTCACTCCGGTATAAAAGTTAGCTTATGGCCATTTTCAATAGGCGGGTTCTAAATTATACGTTACATGATATAATTAGCTGAAAATTTCAAGTCGATCTTCTGAAATTTGAATTTGGTCAAGTTTTTGAAGGACTAATTGACTCGTCGATAAAATGAGTTGTACTTATAGTTACTGCATGACATTATCACTATGGTATCACTCGCTAGGCCGAATGCTTTTTTATGGTAATTATATGTGTTTTCACATTTTATTCACAGATTAGGGTATTTAAAATACTTAAAGTGAAGGAGTAAAAAAATTAATTTTTCCACCTCCTTCTTTGATTATTTATATTCAGTATTAATATTTGATGATTTCGCTGAAACTTCATGTATCCGTCAGCGTCTAAGTAATTTGTTCCAATAAACATTCGTTGAAACATATTCAAAACTAGCTAATTTTTTTCTACATATTTCAGTGGCAATAAGCTCAGACTATTTGCAGTTAAAAAGAAAATTTTCAAGTAATTGTATAAAAATGTATAGACGAATGATACTGAAAGAAAAAATGTCAATTTAAACATTTTCCGGTTTATTTTTATGCATATATGATATCTTATCAAAAAGATTTATCGCACTGCAATTGAGTAGAAGTCATACAAGGCACCTCCTTAGCTCAGGAAGTAGAGCGCTAGAGAGCCAAGTTATGTGGCGCTATTGAAGTGTAGCAGCAGTACAGCTCCCGCCCTGTGGTGTCGCTTCGGGCGGCAGGAACCAGCGCATGCGCGTACACGCACGCTTGGCCGTTTGTTCTCGAGAATTCAAACTGACAAAATCGTTCTTCCTATACATAACGCAGCAGTTTTGAGTTATTCGTTCATTTTACTCATCAATCATTTTGAGATACGTTAGAGAGAGTGCTTTCATTATTTTATGAAAAGAAAAATCGAAATCTCACCGACCTTGAACTTGGAGAGCCCTTCCTTGATTCCGAGGATGTATTGTGTGGTGGGCGGGGCCAGCAGTAAAGACAACCCAACCAAATAAATTGTCGCGTCGTCCAATTTAATCACGAGGAACAATTAAAATCTCAATTTACTCTAACAATGAAGTGGAAAAACCAAAGTAACAATCATCAAAATTATCTCACTCATACGAAGCGCCCAAAGTTGAAGTTGATGCAGCATTTACTATAAGTTTTAATTCATATTGAAATATTGCAACTATTATTCATTTATATTTTTATCGAAATAATATATTACAATGAAAACAAATCAAACGCTGTTCCCATCGATTTACTTCCACGTTATAAAGTTTTCCTATTTGAACGATAACAATTTTCAGTGAGTGAGCGTTCTACTGCTTTATAAGCAAGGTCAATTATAGTCAGCACAGATTTAAACGATTTTATCGACATACAAAACATAGTTTTTTAAAAGAAGCAATCGTAAAGCAATGACTGCAAATCACGGTCCTCATTAAAACTAGATGAAATCATAAACTTCATATGATCTGGGATAGAGCCTAACTAGCGAGAGATCCTCAGGAATGTTAACAACTTAACACCCTCACAATACATAACGTTATTTCTTCCGCCAAAGTTAATTATGCATAATCGCGACAGACTTTTTTCTACTTAAAGGATTAGATATAGAACGTTCTATATTTTCTCTGTAAATGGCCTCTTAATCAAATGCAGACAGAGATAATATTAAATAGCAGGTACAATTCGTAGATTGGAAAAAAAGAAAAATCTTAGTTACGGTATACGTAAAATTCTCGGTTGTTGCTTTAAAAGCCAGTACAACTGTAAGATCACAACCACTAAAAACTTGTTTGAAAATTTAATGCTTCTCACGTAGTAAGTTATAAAAAGTAACATTCTAGTAACTCACAGCAATCATCTAAAGCCCCATAACAGGTTAGTAGAGGGTTCCAGCACAGCAGTTTTCGCGGTGATTGCAGTTGCGTGCCTCAATTCAACAACCTAATAGCTAAGCTAAGCATAAAATATTCGCATCCTATACCCACAAGTGTCCCTCAAGAAAGACAATGGAAGTCATATGTGCCGAAGAATGTTCAGCCGTTTCATACTTGCTGATAAAGTTCCTCTTCAGTCTCGGAAGATAGCCTGAAAATGAAAAAAAAACAAATTCATGGTACTTACACAATAACAAAATTGGCTCAACATTCATTATTCAAATATTTATGACTACAGCTTATCTGTCGTTTGCTTCACACTTGATTAATATGTACGAGTGGAGTTACTTACTTTAGTTTTTTAGACACGTTGGGACTGATATCGAAGGTCGAGTTAATGGCGTTCTGAAAAAATAATAATGAATTAACATAGAGGAAGCAAAATAAGAATCAATGGCTAACTTCACAGCTCACTAAAGCATTCAAATCATATAGAACAATTCAAACATTAAAAAATAACAAAATATCATACGTAAATAATTTAAAACACTTAGACTAAACTTATGAGCTGTTACAGAAAACTAAATGTTCATTTGCAAACATTAGGAATAAATTCAAATGCAAGATGGCAAGCTTCAATTCTACCACCACCTTACAGGATGTGCAATAAATAACTTTTCAGTACCGAATTCATACCCCGTATGGATACACACTGAAATTTGGCGGTGACCGGACTATCTACGCTGAAAATATAACCAATCAATACGAAGAACCATCAATTGCTAATGTATCAAACATCATTTAAATTCCTAATACAACGAACCTGTCTCGTGCTTATACTCACCAATTGCGGTAAAGAGGAGCTGTCGTCTTGCAGTATGGACTTATTGGCGCACTTGAGGGCATTGCATCTGCAGCTGGTGGAACAGGACGAACCGTTGCGCCGACATTTGCATCGTTTACTAAGGCAGTCAGTCATGCAGCCACAGTGAACGCCTGCAACACAGTGAATTTAATAATGAGTATCACATCACTGTTCAGATGGTAAGAGGCCACTTCACGCCAACGCACTTTGAAATAGAGCTCTGTGAAAATCTGAATGAAATCAACACGATAAATTTAATGATTGTTACATCAAGTTCAGATGGTGAAAGTGATCACTTCACGCAAACACACTCTGAAATAGAGCTTTGTGAGAATCTGAATGAATTTAATGATTGTTACATCAAGTTCAGATGGTGAAAGTGATCACTTCACGCACACGCACTTTGAAAGTACCTAAGGCTCAGTGAACGCCAGCAACACAAAAAATTGAATGAACGTAACGACGCAGTTCATATTACGATAGGTGATCATTTTACGCAAACGCCCTTGGAACCTAAGGCAAACACCAACCTCCGTCAGATTCGCGCTTTGTGGCAGAGATGTTTCTTGAAGTGTCTTGGTTAACCGATGCATTATTTTCTTTGTTGTCTTCAGGCAACGCTGCTTCTGGTCGAGCTCGGCGCTGCAAATAGAAACGCATCCTAGAATTACAATGCAAGAGTATTCATTTGTCTAGGGCAATGTGATCACTTTCATAGAACGATCAAGAAACTAAATTTTATCGATACATTTTCATTTGCATTAAAATTATAGGATCATATTTCAAAAAGTGGTATTGCCGTGGGACGTTTCTATTTTGCGAACAAAGAAGTATTTCTAAAATTATTAAGGTGTATTTACAATTAGTCTCAAAATAGTCCCTTCATAATTACACCTCCATTTGTCTTTATTCAATAACGACTTCTTAAAGCTTTTCAAAAATTAGCGTTTCTCTTCTTTGCAGCCGATTAATATTAACTGTAACAACAAGCAATTTAGGTGGCATCGGTAATAGCATCAACAAGTAACCATTTGCCGTATCACAGATAACAAACTCCTTTTCAATGTAAAAATAATTTTAGGTTACGAAAAAATAAAGCTATTTGCCCCCTTTAATGGCGTTCGGGTGTGTAATCTGTAATAATAAAAAACTGACCTTCATAGCTTTAATTCTAACACAAAGTGGTGTCCGACGCCAGGCGGGATCCATGTTGTCGAAGTCGTCATCCTCGTCGCTATCTTCGCTGGATATGGTGAAGTCCTCATCATCATTTAACCGGGTCTTTCTTCTCTGCATTGTACATAAGGTATGCATTATTATCAATAAGGTTAAAAAGAGTAAGTATCATCCATAGGGTAAGAATAGCATTGGGTTAAAATCAATTATAGGGTAAATATTATCAATAGAGAAAGAATGTCCAAGAGGGAAAGTGTTTTCACCATGGTAAGTATTGTCGATAAGGTTGGAATCATCAATGGGTAAGTATCATCCATAGAGCGACTATTGTCAATAGAAGGGTAATCAAAAGGGTAAATATAATCCATAAACTTGCATTAGTCTCTCAGGTACAATCCATAGAATTTCTATTTCTTTAGATGATATCTCAAGAAATCAAAAGGAGAAGCAAAATCAAAAGTCAAAAATATGAGTCAAAATGAGACGCGAAGTATTTTTTTTAGATGAAATTCAATATTTTCAAATCCGAGAAAGATTTACTATACGAAGATCCAGGCAGAGTTTGCCATGTAATGCAACCATAATTTATTTTTATCTTACCTTTTCATTCTTGGCAGCAGCGAGCTGAGGCCTAGGAAGTGGAGGCACCTGGAAGTTGGAAGCAGCCTTCTCCCGAGTAGGTACGAGTATCTAATGAATTATTTACATATATAATAAGCTTCACAATCATTGGGCACAAATCATTTATCCAGCATCGATGTATACTTCAAATAATGCGACCAGAATCAAAGCTTAAATAAAACAAACTGTAGATCAAAATGGGGCATTTCAAACAATAAGAGGTAATTTGTCATTTCAAATACTTACAACAATTGAAACCATAACAAACAGATATCGTGAAAACCACCCTACTAGGCACTCTTCACAAATTTATTATTCAACTGCAGTGAATAATGGGTTCATGGCTTCTGTAGAATTAAAACATAACGCATATTTTAAATGAAAAAGCGAGACAATTAACTTTACCTTCGACTGTTTCTGTTGTAGAAGCTGAAGCTGGGTCTTAAGCTCTTCACACTCCTGGGTTTTGGCAACTAATTCGTCGCGCAGATCTGACAATTTGGCAAGTTCAGCCGTCTGAAGAGCCAGAACCTGTTGATGATTAGTGTTCGAAGACTCCAAACTTTTTGAGGTTTCATTTTTCTGAAACAAAAATAAATGATTGTTAATAAGACCGATGGATCGACAGCCTATATAAAAGATGTTGAAACTAGAACGATAATAGAGAATTCAGCCGCACACAATAACTAAACCAAAACGATTTTAATTCACATTCACCTTTGAAATATTGTGGAACATAGGAGACGTACTTTCAGTAAAAAATCTATACATCAGTTTTTATATGATAAAATAAATCTCTCCTTTCATAATACCATAGAAAGGATAGAAGTAATCAAAGGCCAAGCATATTTGACTTGCACATCACTAGCATTTTGAAGAACAAGTAAACGATTGCAACAGCGATCTCACCTCCTGATCAGAAGACAAGTTCTGCCTCAGAAGACACAACACTTTGTTTTCGTGGTCTTTCTCAAGCTTCATAATTTGCTGTTCGTGAGCAGCTTTAATTTCTTCAAGCATGGCTTCCGTTTCCTCTGATGCGGCCACCAACTCCTTGTACTGCGCCTGGTGGAACAAATGACATAAGTGGATGTAAAAATTTTCGAGTTGCAGGAGATGGAAAAAGAACCTTTTTGTATATCATTGTTCACTGATCCACTTCATTCATGCCCGCTTTCCGAGCAAGACAGACGGCATGCCTTTTACCTACATGAATTTTAATAGCGCGAAATGAGAAAACAAGAAGCAGCCAAAGCAAAAACAATAACACCAAATCAGCCCACAACCGAAAAATAAACTTAGATACTCACTTATACGTACCAATTGTTAAGTATCGCATAGCTAAATACCTTGGCCAAAAACTGGCCCTATAGTGCTGAAATATAATCCTTGATTTGACTGAGTAACAGAACCAGTATTCTGTCGAGTCATATTATTTTAAGTGATCCGAGGTACACAAACCAAGGACTTTAGAGCGTATAAATAACTCTCATGCAGTGTTTTAAGCGCACATTCTCATTTATTGATATTATTGTGCTCGCCATGTCTGTCCGTCCGTCTGTCTGTTCTTCCGTGACTTCACGTTTTCGTCGCCGCGAAAATGCGCTCTCTGTCACTCACTGACGTAAGTACCGAGTAATATATTTTTTTAAATACCTGTAGTTCCTGGAGCTCCTGCTGGGAAGAGGCGCACTGAGCCTTGTGTTGCACCGCCGTGTTGAAGAGCATCGTCAGCGCCGCCTTCGTCTCGCTCATGCCTTGCAGGCCTTCAAACCGCTTCCGTTCTGTTCAAAAGTATATTCAATAACAAATTAACAATTCTCCACTTCCTACTTCTAAGATACTGGATGATTAGTTTTGATTAGACAAAATTATAGAGTGCCATGAAGTTTCGGGATATTTTTTGAACTATTAAAGAGATAAAAACAAAATATAAAACGAATGAAGAAAACCACACTTGCCAGCACTTTATACATATAGCACTTATATAGTTTATAATACAATCTTGTAATTTGCGTTAGAAAACAATGTCTAAATCAAACCCAAAACTAATGCCTCATGGCCTTCTTATTTGTCAGTGTCCAAATAAATTGAATTGTTAATGAATGTACAAAAGATTAAAAAATAACGAGTGGTACATAAACATGGAGAAGTACAACTGTCTATATTCTCATGCATTTATAATGATAGAAGTGAACAGGATACTCGAGCTGCACGAGGTAACGAAGGAAACGACTTCGCAGCGGGAGTATACCATAATTGAATAAATCGTACAAAAACTTGGGCAGGAGTATTACATTTGCTCTCCAAATATTTTTCCTGTTATAGAAGTATGATTTTCTAACATTGTACTTGTAACACATTCAATTGATATTTGTAGCAAATTTTTCGCACACTGCTGAACACAAGTGTCCCATTCATTCACCAATCTAATGGATGCCACCTTAGTCTATACCAGTGGTTCCCAAACTTTTTCAGGCTGGCGCCCCCTTTGGCTCCCTAGTGAATTTCTAGCGCCCCCCACAGACACAAATAAAATCATGCGCCTTTTTCTATAAAATTTAGTACGCAGCAATTTTAAAAGATAAAGGTTAAACATAAATGTGTATTTCACAAATAAAACCCCTTTTAGTGAACCAATATGTTTTTCAGCTGTTGTAACTGTTTCAGTACTAGAAACCTAACACGTCTCGGGCAAATTTACGGCCCGGACTCGTGGCCGGTCTCACGACCAATCTCCAAATTCAATTATCAAGTAATATCTCCCAAACTAATGAACGCAGCTCAATAAAACTTGGAACATGTATTCATCAGAACTTAACAGTGATGTTTAGCATGCGAAAAATTTTTTTAAATATCACCTTCATTCGTGAGTTATATTGCGGTACAGGCCGAAATTCGCAGTGATCAAAGAATTTCCTCCAAACTACCGAACAGATTTGAACGAAATTTTGAATAAACATTCCCAACTACCAAAAGGTGCTTTTAGATTCTAAAATTTTTTTTTATTTTACCTTCGTTTGCGAGATTTTTTTTCATTTCACCGTCATTCTTGTTTTCACACTTCCTTATTCGCTTTCGTTCGCAAGTTATACAGATATAGAAGGAACGACCGGCTTTTCTACCGGCTGGTTTAACCAAGAGCCGTTTACGTATAGCCGTATAACTCGCAAACGAAGGCAAAGCGAAAAAATGTAACTCAGTACTCACTGCAGTAAGTGATAGAGAGCGCATTTTCTCGTCGACGAAAACTTGAGGTCACGGACGGACAGACGGCAGACAGACAGACGGACATGGCGAGCACAATAGTGCATTTTTTCCATAAATGAGAAAATGCGCTTAAAATTGTAACGAGCTAAACATCACCGTTGCTGAGGTTAGGTATTAAAATACTAAATTTCGTTTAAATTTGTTCAGTACCTAGTTTGGGAGAAATTGCTTGATTACTGCGAATTTAAGCACGCATTTGCTGCTTAAATCACGAATGACACTCGCGAACGAAGGCACAGTCGAAAAAATTTTCACGAGCTAAACATCACCGTTCGGTAGTTAGGACTGTAAACTCAAAATTTCGTTCGAATCTGTTCAGTAGTTTGGAATTAATTCCTGGATAACTGTGAATTTCAGCCCGTATTTCCATATAACTATGGCAAAAACAATAGAAGGCAAAATTCAAAAAATTTTCACGAGCTTTACATTACCGTTAGGTCCTAATGAATACGTGTACCAAGTTTCATCAAGTTAAGTTCATTAGTTTGAGAGATATTCCTTGATCAAATCGCCCCCTATCGCCCTTTTCTTCTTTACCGCCCCCCAAAATCTTTCCACCGCCCCTAGGGGGGCGATATCGCCCACTTTGGGAACCACTGGTCTATACTAACCCCCAAGCGTAAGGCTTAGTCTGCACAGACCTACAAGCGTAAGGCTAAATCTATAATACAGACCCACGCTTGCGTAAGAAAGGTTTAAACTGGCACCCACCAAGCAAGGACTCTCCATCGCCCTCGAGGACCTTCTGCTGTAGTTCGTTGATCTGAGCGGTGCGCAGCTGCAGATCTGTGCTGAGATCTTTCTGCTTGTTCAGGAGCTCCGTCCTGAACTCTTCACTGAGGTCGTTGTGTTGCAACTGCTGCTCTACTTTCGTCAGCTTGTCTGTAACGTGAATAACACAAGTGTAAATGAAAGCCCATCATTAAGAAACTGCTGGAAAAAATGCATAATAATCGTCTCATTTCTTACTATGTCCTGAGTCAAAAATCCACGTTAAAGTAGTGTCGCGCCTGAGATATTCAAATGAAACAATACCTACAATAATATAAAAATTACTACTTAAGAATAAGCATGCTTTTAAACTCATTTTGTAACCTTTTAGTATTAAAAAATATATTCTAGTTCATTTTAGAATTGAAAGTTCAGAATTGTGAGTGATGAAATGAATGGAACTCAAGTGAATAATGCAATAACCATCAAAGGCTAGAGTTGCAAAGAAAAGTTAGGAAACACATTCGATAGTTTTGATATAAAATTTCCCGAGCCGCTCGAGAAGAACAAGAAACGACAGGAGTGGTATGTTTCCACTAACTTTGTAAGTAGAGGATAAATTAAAAATAAAATCGTCAGTCAAACGTCTGACTATCATTAATGTGAATGTGGCTACGAAAACAAATAATTAAAAGTATTGATTTCAAAAGGAAACAGACTGATGGAAGAAAAAAAGTCAATAGCGCAGAAATTTCCTTACATAGCACGTATTATCTGAACCTAGGCATTTACCGATGAACTCGTTTAAGGGGAGCTTGAGCCATCGAGATCTTCTACTGAGGTATCGCGTATACTTACCTACTTTCTGGCGGGAACCTCGACGATACTTACTGCCAATGAATTTACGATCTTCTCTAAGGGATTCGAGACTTTGTTTTGCTTGATGCTTGACGGAGACCAACTCAAGCTCGCTCTCAAGCCAGTTCTTGAGACGCTGCTGCCGGTTAGCTAAGTTGGCCGTTGCCCTCTTCTCCGAGCATACCTTTTGTAGCTCCAGGGCATCCTGGGGGCATAAAAATTTGCTGATTGCGATGCTGTCCCAAGAAGATGAACAAGATATTTGCAGTGGCTACATTGTCATGGCAAAAAATAAGACAATGGCATGCTCTTGAGAGATACAAATTTTTAGGTATGCTACCGGGAATTTCACAGTAGAAAACGAGCAGTGCAAAATTTTCGTACGAACTTCTCCACTGTGTTAGCACTAAAAGCGATTGATAGCAAATTTTCTGGCATTAACAACTACTAATTATAGCGTGGATATTTTTTTTATCATATAAATCCTACAGCGCATCTCAGTGACAAATTAATGAAGAATGTTTCTCACAATTACAAACAAAACGTCTCCAATGAGACGCTCTCCAATGCCCTCATGCGCGTGCGCGCCACCATTGGTAAAGTTTTTCTTCAATTATAAAGTATTTACAGTATTATTATGAACGAAAAAAATTCAATAAAATACACTCTGTAGGGAAATCTGAATTTTTCACAAATTTAGTGGCCGAGATGCGAACAACGTCCAAATTTGGCCGCTGAAGCCACAAGTGATCGCACCTTGAGACGCTTGTTGAGAGAAGAAGCTTCTTCAATTTTCCGCCTCAGGACGTTTTGCTGCATCTTATTCATACGTTCCATCTTGATCATCTTGAAGTCTTTCTTGCGCTCCTGCATCTTCAGCTTCTCGATCTGCAGGAAATATACGCAGTTAAAGAAAAGAAGCTTTCAAATACCTTGCCTTTGCTCTGGCGTACATGATCTACCTATTTGATCGCTAGGAAGACACAAAATTTGAAGAAACATTAACTGCCTAATTCAAATATTTCAAACATGAAATAATGGCAACCCCGAAACCAGCACACAGCTGGGAAGGAATGGGAGTAATTCCACATAAGTAGTTCAATAATAAAGATAAAAATGACCTACTTCTTAGCTGTTAATGGGATGATTTTACAAAATTAATTCAATAATGAGAACAAGACATTGATACCTCTTTGTTTTTAAGTTGTTGAGCGCGTTTGAATTTATCATTATCTTCCTTCATTTGGCGGATGAGCTTGACGCGGGCTTGTTTCATCGCCTGTCACAAAAGAAAATACACATTAATTAACATATATCGGAAAAGATAGATTAATTGACTTAAATGACTTGGTTCAAGTCATTGGCGTGTCAATGAGCGTGTGGTTTTATAAATTTATCAAGCATTTTTTAAATTAGATACGCTCTGGGAATACTTTTGAGCGGATACACGTTTGAATGTGACGGAAAAAATCAAATGGGTACAATAAAAAGGATAATTATTTCAGTTACGAGAAGTTCGACGTATAAACTTAAAATACATGAGAGCTTACGGCACAGCTTCAAGAAAATAACAGTGATTGCTTCGTTGCTGACAGATGAGCAACACAGCACCTGGATTTCATTGGAGAGAAGCTCGACCCTCTTCTCGGACATTTCCTTCATCTTGAGGGCCTTGTTCCTCTCAATGACTTTTTGCTTGAGGTCGTTAATCTCCTGCGTGAGTTCCTGGACTCGCTTACGACGCTGCTCCGCAAGTCTGCACAAATTGACATGCAGCAAGTCATGTGATGAATTAAATAGGAATGCTGATGGAAATATAAAGGTTTGATTAATTAAGTCTGGTGAAATTAGATGGAATATAAATCAGTGAAGCATACAAAAGGAGAGGTAGCAAGAGCGATGTATAAAATTAGCCTGGAAACCCATCACCTCCAGCTAAAAGGGTTAAAGATTACCTCTACTAACCATGAATAGCAATTAATAGCAATAGTCCCCGCTTGCTTGAAGCTACAGTATTGTTTTTGATGCTCTTTCTCAGTCCCCTGCAACTCACAATTGGAACAAGATTTTAAAAACTTTTCGAATCATATGATGAAATTCTCTTTATTCTAAGACTATCAGAAAACGTGTCGAGTATGTCTTGCTTCTCGGTCCAAGAATAAAGAATTTAAATTTATCATCTATCAGTGAACTCGAGGTGATACAAAGTGGGTATGTTTAGATATGCCATGAACTTCTGGCACTGTTAATGCTTCAGCTATCATCTAGTGGAAGCATAAACTTGACGCGATACAATATGGGTCAGTAAAGGGATAAGCCGCGCACTCGCTGGCAGCGTTAGTGCTTCAGCAATCATCTAAATGATCTAATGGAAGAGTAATCGTGATCTGTTACAATAGAAAAATAGATCAATCAAGCGATATATCATGCACTTGCTGGCAGGGTCACTGTTCGATCAATCACTAAATAAAGCGTTATCGCGACCTGATACAATACAGATCAGTTAAGGCATGAGTCACGTACTTGCTGGCATGGTTAATTACTGCTCAATCAATCACTAAATAAAGCGTTATTGCGACCTGATACAATACAGATCAGTTAAAGGATGAGTCACGTACTTGCTGGCAGGGTTGCTGGGGGCAGAAACGATCTGCTGCTGCAGGCTCTCCTTCTCATGCTCGACGGTGGAGATGCGTTCTTGCAGTTCCTGAATGGCGCGCTCGTATGACGACCGAATGTTGGCGATGTCCTTGTCATTGCTCAGCATCTTCCTCATTAGTTCTTCTTTTTGGGCCAGCGCATGATTGAGACTCTGAAATGGAATAAACTTTAGATCAAAGCAACATAGAAATAAAAATATATCCGTGATTTGATGTAATTTCTCACAAGCAGGTTACGATAAATTACATCACGTCACAATCGAATCTTATCTTACAAATCACTCCATAAAAAGTACTAGAGATATCTTTGCAATAACATTTCTTATGAAACTACACTGGAGACTATTAAGAATTGCATATCTACATTGTATTTGATTACTTAAATTTAATAATAAATTTAATAGTAAACCAAGTATGGTGTGTTTCATTTGAGAAGTTCCGCTTGAGAAGTAATTAGAACATAGCTTTGTTACAATCTAATAAATCAGAGGGAGCTGCCCAGAATTTAATAATAACTGGCGAGTTATATTAGAAGAAGCAGCACAGTTTTATTTAGGTTTAATCAGTAAAGTTCTGATTATGAAGAAGTAAATACTGACGGCGAGCTCCTGTCCCTTCTGTGAGCGCATGAGGGCGCTGGCCACAGAGCAGTCAGCGGCCGGAGAGGCGGACTCGTCCTGGCCTGGAAGAAAACAAGAACGGATATTCACGGTGGATTTCCAAGTCTTGAATAAGTGAATAGGTACAGGTGGCTATTATAATGGATTATTTATTTTTATGTGTTGTGTGGTCTCCTGTTAAACACATAAATGGATAGATAGATTACACTTTTTAATAGGCTTGGTGCATTTTAACAGCCATGCAGTGGTGACCAGCCGGTAAATAATGATTTGAAATCAAACTGTTGAATTTCTTTCCATTTGCTAATTGTAATATCTCATTACTGCTATTTAGGATTGATAAGGCTTGTGACAAATGTTTGGTCCAGATTTCATAACTTAGCAATTATTGCACAAGATTTATACTGATTAATGTGGACAGCAGGCACCAAACTGTAGACTTCTCACCTATAATTTAAATCAACCTCATACCAATTCATATTTCCGTTATAGTCTGATTTATTCTAGTTCAAACCTAACTATATAGTACTGGATATACGTGTCCAGTTTCTAGTTTCATAGTGACAGACATTCAACGTACACGTGTCTAATTTATAGATTCTCTACACTTGGGTTGCCAGCAGTTCTCACTTTTATCTTGAAGAGATGAACTACCGTCGCTATCTAATGGCTCTGATGTACAATGTTCATACATGTTTAATTTATAAATAGATTTTCTCCTCTCAGTTAGCCAGCAGTTCTCACTTTTATCTCGAGGAGATGAACTGCCGTCGCCATTTGATGGCTGCTGATGCTCGTCTTCTTCAGCAGAAATGTCGGCAGCCTGATGGTGCGTGAGCTCGTGGCTCACAAGCTGCTCTTCGTTCTCACGATGCATCGTCTGCAACACACATACGTCATTAACTCAATAAATTGAAAATTATTAATTATAAATCAGGTTGTGGTGGTCTTTATGAAGTTAAATGTTACTCGCACTAATCTGCAGCATTGATACTAGTACTGTTGAAGGACAAGTCATTCCAAATTGTGTTCTGGAGGAGTAGGAACAGCAAAAATCGTTAGAAATAAGGTATGATTGTACAATAGTAGCTCTAAATTAATAGATTTCTTCCAAACTCGCTCCCAAAACTTATACTAAAGTAGTACAAGTTGACAAAAAATGAAATGACAAAAAACAAGTAGCAGAAAAAAAAAAACACAAAGACAATGAGTGACGTGAACGTACCTGCAAATCCGCCACCTGCTGCTGCACTTGTTTGATGAGCTCCAGTTTACTGGCAAGCACAGGAGCGACGGCCGAGTCATTGCTCTTAATGGTATCGTTGAGATCTTGTACAGTCGAGTCCATTCGAGCTTGCAGTTCATTAAGCTTCTCGTCCATTTTCTCTCGAGCTGTTGCGACCTTTGCAAATAATTAACAACTTAAAAATCAATAAATTAACTGACAGGCGCTTGAAGCCAGTAGGTATGAGTAGTGGTTTGATACTATACCACCAATAATTCAGCAACTGAAATTAAATGAAAAAGGTAGAGTTGATAAAAAAACATTTAATATATTAAATTGATTCCCAATAGAGAATTGAACTCACCAGAACGTCTTTGACGGCCATGTTGGTATTGGTAGCATAAGTGTCCTGGAGCGCCAGCATGAGTTTGAGATTTTCTTCTTTCAGCAACTTATTCTCCTGTATCAAAGCTGACATCTGAAATGTAAATGCACTGTTTAGTAATTGGTCCTATTTAATTACGCTACAATATTTGAACGCCTATTACATCTTTTTGAAAATTCTTATTTCATTTACCCAGAACTTATTTGCCGTTATTTCTAAATAGTGAACTCAATCCAACTCGGCCACGATTATTCTCATTACGTGATTTGTAGAACACTTTCTCTTGAAGTCGTTTAGGTTTCGAGAATAAAAGCAAGAGTTTCCGTCAAGAAGAATCTGTTGTTTACACATTACAACACTGACCTCCTTACAGTCTTCGCCTACTACACGGCCGGCGGATGCTGAGATCAACTGCAGTTGAAGTTCATGGACCTGGAAAGAAGAGCGTCAATTACAAGACAGTCTTCATGAATATTAATCGTACAAGAAAGAGTAACAGTTTGAGACACTTGTTCAGCATTAGGTATGCAAAAAAACGATTTTCATTGTTGATATTTGGAGAACAGATTGAAATAATCTGGAAATGAAATTGTATGATCAGTAATTTTTAGCTTGTTATTAATTCAAGGAATTAACCAAAAAAATTCTCTGATTTGGCCATGCCAAAATTAAAGAAGTTAAATTGAATGTTCTTCAGTAATATGGTCGAACCCAGGTAGACACCTTGGGAACAAGAAAAATGTAACAATAACAGCCCAATACTAAAAATTAATTATGATTATTCTCTTTATGATTCCGGGGAACGATAGAACAAGCTTGGAGTATTGCAGCACAAATTTCAAAGAACATTACTAGTTCAAAACGTTATTCAGCGTAAATCTAATTGTTAGGCTAAAATAATTCGTGACCTCAACACCAAGTTTTCTGTACAAGAACCCACAAAAGACTATACCTGTTGTTTAAGGCGAGCAATTTCAGCGGCTTTGGGATCACAGTTGACCATGGGCTTATTCTTGATCATGCGAGCTCGGTCGGCATAGGCCAAGGTGCTCAGGGTCTCCTCCAGCGAGTTGTCTGCTGGAGACACACACGCCACCATCAGAGTGTGGGAGTTCCCTCCTAGTGAGTCTGCACAAATAAAATATATGGTGAAGAACACTTACCAGTATGCGCAACCATATACATAATATATAAGCTCCAGGAGATTAGCTATTAACGTAAAAATGGGGAGAAAACCTTCATGTACCATTGAGGCAATATTTTTGCTTGTTCCTTCCTCAGTTTGTTCCCCCGAGTTTGATACCGGCCGGAACTAGGGGCTGATTCCCCTATACCGGCCGGACAAAGGGGCTGACCACAACAACATTGCTACGCGAATGTACAATAACATAGTCAAAAATCGTAAGGAAATAGAGGGGATAATTATTTACAAGGATATCTCATTGCCCTTCAATGCAAGAAGAATATTATGAAAACATTTCAAATCTTTTGGAATAATACTACTGATATTTAAGACATTTTATTACTATGCATTGGAAAATATATCAGTACAAATGATAATTATCTGGAATACAGCACCATACATTTCTTTATCAAAAAAGATGAGTCTGACCTTGACCTAAGAAGGCTAGTATTATTATCATAAGTCACTTTCGATCTTGCAGTAAGAAGACATATTATTATTAGTCAAGTCTGACCTTGGAGTAGCCTTGTAAGCTTGGACTCTCTGTATGGGATGTGCTTCTCTTTTCCGGAACCGAGAGCACTGATGACTTTGCCCAAACACAGCAGCCCTGAGTTGATGTGGATGCCTTCCTTAAAACGCTGCCCAGTAGTGCCAGTCTTTTTTGCCCGCTCGCTGCCAGCAAGGTCTACCAAAGTAAACTTGGCGCATACCACGTGATCGCTGCAAAAATTAGTGTCACTTCAAACACGTGCAAAATTTGCTGTATATGAAATGTATTTTTAATGCACTATTACTGTACTGCCCAGGATTCGATAGATAAATATCCGCACCAGAAATTTTTTAGTAATGCAACTCGAGTGACTTGAGTCCCTTGATGATGACACTCTAGAAGTGGTACTCTAAAATGAGGAACAAGTTTTCCAAGTACAAATCGTAGTTCAGCCCACTATTGTATGAGTTATTGACGAGCGGCGATTTGAGTGCATAATCTGCTTAGTGGCGACTTATTTGCCATTAACAGGGCATTAATGAACGTAGAGTATGTCGTCTTTAATTTTATATTGAGGCACATGGTTTCTGAGCATGATATTAATTTGGACATTTTTTGTGTTTGTCTTAAACTAGAGAACCAGGAATGTTATCTGCTGTGAAATGAGCCAGTAAACAAAGAAGAGTGGGAAAGGAAAATAACCTGTTCTGTTTTTTCCACTGTTGCAGTGTCACGCAGAACAGGGCGTGAGATCTACTGCTCTGGGCGTTCATAGCTGTGGAGCCTGTAGCTCTGTGGTGGGATCCCTGCTCAACATAAACACAAAATTAGCAATGAGCTACAGAGCTGATCTCATCTGTCAGCAATGCCGGCTCATCCACATAAAATATCAATAATAATCAACCCAGAACTTCAGAGCTGATTTTTCTCAAGCAATGGTAGTGTAATGCAACGCATTCAGTATTAAACAAAATTTTGAATTGTTTAGTCACATTGGCTTGCTTTGCAGAAGCTCATGGAAGTAACCTAACAAAGTGTATAACAATAGTTATACAATTTTATACAATATACAAAACACACCCTTTCAACTTCTCTTAATATACATTTTCATTCCATGTCACAGAAATTACTAGATGTAAATTTAACCTCTTGTGTTCTGCACTCCCTGCAAATAATTCATAAAATATCACTAGGGCTCTTTCAATGTAGGTGATAAAGTAATTTACATTCCACTAAAGCCTTGGTACTAACACCATGTTTGCATTATAAAGTGAAAATTCCACTCGCACCTTGATCAGAAAATGGCTCACAACAAACATGCAACAAATACAAGAACTTCAAAATATTTATGGACAACATTTTGCATAAGTTATATTATTTTCAGCAATATGAAATATTTATATTCCAACTTTAATGCCAACACAGACGCACTGTCCATTGCCTCAGAAAGTGTTTAAGCAAAATTAAACATTTTATGTTCATCAGTTTTTCCTCAGAAAGGTCAAGATGGATATTATCAAAGAAATTAGATAAAAATTGGTACTGACTTGCTCAAGACATCGCATGGTCTCCTGCAATGATGCCACGGGCACCTCAGTCACTCCCTGCATCCTGATCTCACCACCCACACCTTCACGGATGTCCAGGATGTTGTCATCTCGGGGCCCTGGAGCCAGCAGGTCATACAGGTTTTCTGCATACAGCTGCACACACATAACAATTGTGAATATAAAAAAAATAATTTTTCCATGGTAATGAGCTTAACATACATCAGTGGTTCCCAAACTTTTGCAGGCTGGAGTACATTTGACTCCCCAGTGAATTCCTAGCGCCCCTCCCCCTACATATACATAATATTCACATAGCGCCCCCCACAGACACAAAAAAACACAGATTTCGAATATTTTCAACAGTTTACACTAGAAACCCAGGAGAGGTTCAAAAAATCTAGATCTGGGTTAAAAAGTCCATCGCTGGGAGCGTGTGCTACATGTTTTGTGTACAAATTATCAAACAAACGTTTGAACTTCTGACTTCGGCTTTGGATTGCCACCCCCCTACCACCTCCTTCTTCCTCGCTGTCCCCCCCCCCATATCTTTCCTCCACCCCCAGAGGGCGGTACTGCCCACTTTGGGAACCACTGATTTACATCAAGTACACTGCTCCTGTACCATCATGCTGCTGACTTGTACTCATGTTCTACATATGTACTATGAGTTCTAAAACTTGTAATGGGCGACAGAAACTTTGGATGTACAGAAAGTAAGGCAAATAATCAAATCCCACCACTACATTCCTTGAATTACAAACTTCATCATGCGCTGCTTTACCAGCAAGATCCCCAACTTACCCAATTCCAATTCAGTTATACACGCCCACAATCCCTTACTTCAATATCAATAGGGATTAACTGAGCATGATTAGTCATTAGCCAGAGTAGTAATCAGTATTATTGCACTGAGCTTTGCTGTAAAACTTTCATTCCTGAGGGTTATCAATTGCTAGATTGTGTTCAAGATTGTGTTCTCAATTGCTAGATTGTGTTCAAGAAAATTTAAAAGAAAATAATTTGTTAATATTAATCAGTAAATTAATTAATAATTTAATCAACAAAAAATTATAATATTTAATCACAATGATCTGAAATGCAGCACAATTTAAATTTTCTTGAACCTATCAGAAAATTTTAAGAAATCTCACTAATGTGTTCAGATTTTTATCCCATGTGCTATTTTAAAGAGAACTAAGTTGCCATCTGAGGAAATAGTCCGCTGGCAGAAGGGAAGATAGCTAAAAAAATGCATAGTTATAAATAAATACAACTTATTAAAATGAATCACAAACAATATGACACAAAACATCATCTAATGCTTTTGGTGTTATTTCAAATTAAAAAAAATCCATAATAGAAAAAAATGAACAAAGAATGAAAGAATGAAATTACTACACATGAACACAATCAATCAAGTCATTGACTTGCCTCAACAAATGAGCATTTCACCAGGTACTGGTATTCATCCTCCCGCTCCGTGATGGTGCTAAACATGTCACGGATGGCTCTTGGGATGATACCCATTGTTTCATCGGGGCAGTTTTCTGGTGAGTTTGTACCCATGCTGTAAGTCTTTCCTGATCCAGTTTGGCCATAAGCCAAAATGGTGACATTGAATCCTGGAGATTGTCAATTATCAAATTAGATAAAAGTACTGGTAAGCCAAAATTGTGACATATTCAAGAGAAATATATAAAATTTGAAAATAAGATAATTTTAGTAAGACAAAATGGCAATATTTAATCCTGGAGGCATGGAATTAGGAAATTAGATAACAATTTTGGAATGGTGATATTCAGTCCTTGAAAAATTAAATTAGAAACATTTAGGCTGGCAACCTGAGTGAAATTAAATTCTAGAGACATAAATGAAAAAAAATAGTACGGTACCAATAATAAATAGAAAAACCCTAAAGGTTTGAGAAGAGTAATTAAAACTCTACATTTCAATGTTCAAGAGAGTTAATTGGAAAAAATTGATTTAATTTTGAGTTAAATGGAAGAGGAAGCTTATGCTGTATCTAAATGCCTACAATAACATATAAATGCCTACAATAACATATATATACTGTCCCCAATGATTACAAGCAACATATATACATGGATTGAAAGCTAGCTTACCATTGTGGATTTCTTTGATTATTTTGGAGACTGCCGTTGTGTATAGCTCCTCTTGGCTGGCTTCAGGGGGAAACACATAATCGAACGTGAACTGCCGGTTCTGGCCACCCGATTGCACAATGATCTGAAATGAAACACAATTATACATGAGGTTTTAGAGGCAATGAATTCATAAGCCTTGATAAATGCAATAATCGAAAGAAAATTCCTACTTATAAGTGAAATCTTACATCTCCCATGTGACAGTTTTATTAAATTTGTGATCTTTTTGCCTGATCATGAATTTTTATAACACTTAGATTGAAGATATCATAATTAATCTAGCAGGAGTCTTGTGACTGCAGAAATATATTACATGCCTGGGCCCTGGGCCTATGTTGTGCATTAATTCTTTCAGAAAAACTGAGTGGCAACTGGCAAGTTCTGATAGAATAAACTACCGGTATCTAACATTAGAGCAATAACTACAAATTTGTGCAAAACAGATGTGCAACTTAAGTCTTGTGATTCAGTAGATCCTAATAAAATGAAATTAATCATATTTATCCAATTTTCCCAGGGCAGCAAACAACAAGGAATTGATGATTTAATATTATTATTTTTCATCTATTATTTTCAGAGAAAACTTCTAAATATTCCATTTACTGGTTTAGGCAATGATTAAGTTTTGTGGTAGAAAATGCAAAGGTTCAAAATAAGTGGTAAGTAGAAACAAAAAAGCCAGCTGAACAGTTCTTAGATTGAGTTGCCACCAATGTAAATGTCATCACAGCCCTTAAGTTGCCAACTTCAATAGAAACAATATGTTTTATCAACAAAAATGAAATTTTTCTAGTTTTTAGCACTATAAAAAAGGCTTTGCAGTTGTATGCTTATTGAACCCTACAATTTACAAATCATATTTCTGACTGGTATTATGTGGTTATTAGTGAGAAGCAGCCAACCAGCCAGGTAAGTACAGTGGCAAATCATGTGTTGCCCAGTCATTGATAGCAGGCCTGATCTCTTAGCAGTTCAAAAGTTGCTACTATACAAATTTGTCAAATTTAATTTTTTCTCTATCCATGTAAATGAATTTTAAATTAACAAATCAAAATTTTTTATTACTTTAAGAGTAAAATACACTTCCAATATACAAATACAATACTTATCCATCCTTGCCAAACCATAATCAATAACATGTAAATTGGCATTCAGCAAAAACTATACCTATATAGATATGTGGCTCAGTGGCAGCTAGTCACAAAAAAACATATGTACCTAATACTGGTCAGATTTACATCATCTACAATTTCTAATGTTTGATAGTCAGGCTGGAATTCTAGAGTGGTATTAATTAACCAGAGCATATTGGACACAACCAATCAGAGTCAGGCGAAGATGACATCACAATCCCACAACCAATCACAGTCTGGAGTGGATGACAGCATGATCCTATCAATCAACCAGAGTCTAGAGTGGATAACATCAGAACCAGTTACAATCTGGAGATGGACATGAATCCAGCCAAAAATGACAAGCTTTATGCACTATCCAAGAATTCCAGCCTGTTTGATACCCACTACCCTGTAGTAGTCAGTACCCACATAAGGACTAAAGAGCTTTTTAAATTGTGCTTGGATATTGTACTTCAATTTCATTCATAAAATACATTGTTCCTATTGAAGCAGTATGGAATACTAAAAACAAAAACTAAACAATGTCACATTGTCTCTCATCCTCATTAACTGTAAATAAGGCAGAACAGGGTGCATACTGATATTGAGAAAAAAAAAATTCCATGACTTTTCCAGGACTCTCCATGATCATCAATATAATTTTCCAAAACTTGCATACAACAGGTTTAGCATGACTGAAAGAGTGGCCGTGCATATTCCGTCATCTTCTACAGTTGATAACTAGCAAACGTGTAAATGCATGGAGCAGGCAGACACAGAGAATAAAAAATGACACAAATCAGGAAATCAAGCCCACACTTTTATTATTATGAATTCAATAGTGTCAAATCACAACAAATATTGAGTAATGCACACAATATTGCACATGATAATGTCAATACAGTTCAGAACACGATACAACACCTGTACCCTAACATTCAACCGGCAGATATTTCATCAACTTTTTCTTTAATGTTCAATTCAAGAGTGTCTAGCTCCTGTTGCTTTGATTTCAAAGATCGCCTCATGACACTGAACTTTGCGACGATTTTCAAATCCCCACTTTCTCTCCATTGCTTCTGCATATTCATCTGCTGCTTGCTCAAGCGCATAGATGCCCTCCTCTGTACGCCTTTTCTTCTTCAGTTCATCTAGCTCATCCAACAGAGCCTTCCTCTACTGGGTTTTCTGGGCCTTTGCATTCTGCTCTTTCTCTTCTGCTACATAATTGTTGTTGGATGTTTTGACACTGCCAGCTGCAAGCAGCATCTTCTAGGTGATGGTCATCTTGTCCAGGCCACCAACATGTGAAACCTGATCAACCACAGCACGCAGGTCAACCACCATTCACTCTTTCATGTTGTGTGTCATGATTTCCTTGTTGAGCGAAAACCCTCTTTCAACCGTGGCTTGGCCATGAGACAGGAGTATGAGCATTTGCACTACATTCCAGAGCTTCTTGTAGGTGCTCTTTGACAGAATGGCATACCAAAAAGTGTCCAGTTGATCAGAAGTTGAAAATGCTTGAAACTGCGTGTTCAATCCACTGCAATATTGTGATTCATCTCTTAAGTAACACCATCCACATCTGTGTTAGGGAATCTTGTGGCATCAACAAGCAAAGTGAGACAGTTCAACTGTGTCTTGTTGGCTTCCTTACAGTCCTTCTTGATGAAGGCTTTTGGCACCAGCCATCTCAGGTTCCTACCAAGGACATAATCCCTACCATGGGGGCGTTTAAGAGGGCCGCAGAACATTAGCTATAGTATACAGTAGAATCATTCATTCACATTGCACCTTAATGTATTTCATGTTTTATTTCAATACCTTTTGAGTGTCATGTGCATCTTATTAATCTTGTATCTTGTTCCCCTTGGTGTAATATTCAAGCACAATAAAAGTTAATGAGACGAAATTCTTGCAAGTCCATATGATATGCACTTTTGATTAATCTGCACCCCTGATTGCTGAATTGGAAATTCACTTGTTGCACCTGATTCTTTTCTGACCATCAAAAGCCTGTTTGAGATGCTTTATTGCATGATTTGATCTACACCTCTGCTTGCTAATCCCATCCTGATGCTCCATTTTGGTGAGTACAGTGAATTTCAGCTCATTAAAATGTCACCATGCAATATTTGTCATTACTGAGCTCTTAACAAATGTTTTCCAGTTATTCATGCCTGCTTATAACAAATGAAGGATGGTTTTCACTGGTTCTTATGTTAATCCTCTCCTTTTATTGCACAATTTTCATTTTGCTTAGTTGAACCATGTTGTGTCCACCCTTGAATAACTTACTTTCTGCAACCCCTTCCATGCATTGATGACTTTGTGTGTGACAAAACAGTTTAAATATCCTCCTGATGTCAATATTTCTAGAAGGCTAGTTCTTATGAACGCATTTATTTGACGTTTAGGAGCGGTTGGTGTGGAGCTACAGTCTTCTTGATGAGAACCTAAGATTGCTCAACCAACTCCTGGCCATCAAGAAAGAAGATAAGACATTCCACCTATGAACCAAAATTTGATTTGGATACCAAATCGAAGTTGATGAGCCTTGCACTTTTCCTAGATACTTTGAATACAGACATATGTGACTTGGTCCAATTTTCTAGTTGTTTCTAGGAGTAAATTTACTGATTAGGATGCTAGTGTGACTAGGAGTATAGGAGTATATTTAATGACTTGTGCGACTTAGTAGGACCAGTTGTCTTTCATAATCCACTCATGAATGCCCCATACATCAGTGAGGGAGTCATGTTGTTGAGTTAAGAGTAGTCGAAACTTTAGTCTGACTAGCTATATACCAGAAGTGCAAAATTAGGATTTGCAGATTTAATTCTTGAACTGCATAACTGTTTGCTTTTTTTGCTGTACTTTCATTGATGTTCAACGTTTAGGTATTATGTGACCTAGTCTGCTTATGCATTCCTGTGCTTGGCGCCCATTCGTTTCCATTTGCTAGCCACATACCATTTGCTGTCAAAGTGTGCTCTAGGCCCTAGATAACCATTAGCTCTCTCAACAGCCAAGGAAATGGTAAGATGGCTACAACCCTTGGGGCATACTTCCTGCCATAAGGTAAGAGTGATGGTGCTGAGTGCAGTGTGGAGTGAGTGTGGTGTGCTTGGGTGTGGTATGTGAGTGTGTGTGACTTGATCCACAAGCCACTCAGCATTGATCTCCATCCCTCCACCAGTGGTCAAGTTCTGCCTTGCCAACTATCACTCCTTGGCTTGTACCTAAAGCCTGGGACAGTTACTACTTGATTCATGATTACTACTTCTCTAGGGATGGTTATTCTTGATTTATGGTTGTTAAAACCATAGTTGGCCTTGGCTAATGTTTGAGTAAGACATTATTATCTGGCAGCAGAAGCTGTTAATAACTATTTTTTTCATTTGTCACTTTTCTATTATCTTGTAGTTACCTGAAACTAAAATGCTGAGAGGCCACAGTGGTCCACTCATTAGAGCACTTTACCCAGACCAAGTGGGCTGAACTGACACCACCGCTAGTGTTTGATTTAGACTAGGTCCCGTTCATTTATTGTTGTATCTGCCATTTTGTATTTTGTGTTTTGTTAGTAGTAAATTGTTTAGTGTTTTCCATGTTTCATGACTTCCTGAATGTGACTCCTTCTGACCACATTCAGTATTTGTTCCATGACCAAGGACTCAAGAGATACAGTCTTGCATATTTGTGCGGGCTTACCGGGATTCGCTACAGGGTGTCTCTTTTATGGTAAGAATGTCTCAAGTGCCTACCATAAAATGCTAATGTGTTTCATTTCATGCAGTTCTTTCAATGGCAGGCAATGAAGTCACAGACAATGAGCTAAAAAAAACTATAGGAACAAAGAAACAGAGAAACTAGCAATGAGGATGCAGGACGTGCACCAGGGCTGAAGCTGCACATGCGCCAGTGATAAATTTGCACATGTTCTCAGGCAAACACACACGTGAATGACTTACAGTCTCCTACCCATGGGTAACATAGACACAAGTTCGAGCGGTCGGAGTACCGTCAACCAGGGCTACTCGGGACAGTTTTGAGCGTTTTTTTGTTAATAACTTCTTAGGATGAAACATTTCATAAACAAGTTTAGACTCATTTTATAGCTCTTTGTGAGGGCTATCGAATGGCATCATCAAAAAAATTCCATATGCTATTCGTAAGGTGCCAGAAGCAAAAAAAAGTGTCCCAACTAGCCCCGTCGAACGGGGCTACTCGGGACACTTGCAATAAAACTTCATTTTAAAATATTTGAGGCATGCAGAGTGTACTAATCCATTACTAACAGTACTCTGAAGTCCTCCTCTTTCATTGTAGATGATGTAGAGGTAGAATAAATGATATTTTCAGTGATTTTTACTTGTTTTTTCTTTATTGATGATAATACCATAAACATTAATTACCCTCAACTGGGGTGACTTCAGCCTGTTTTTGATTTTGTTTTGCAAACAAAAATGGGGTTGTAAACGCCGGGGTCATAAACGCCAGGGTTGTAAACAAGGTCATAAACGCCCCAGTGACTTTAGCCATCATTTACGACCCCGCTTTTGTTTGCCAACACAATATCAAAAACGCAGCTGAAGTCACCCCAGTTGACAGTACCCTATTATTGATGGGTACTGTATTATTGATGTGATATTCAGACTCCTGCGTCTGGAAATAATTTTCTCGAAATGAACCGGGAAGACAAAACGAGACGAGAAAATTCCGGGAAAAAAATAACGGGACAGAGGGTAAAATTTGTCCCGGAATAAACGTATGAACCGAGACAAGATTTCTGTCCCGGTTTTTAAAACTTGTGTCCCGGTAAATTATGAACCGGGACGAGACAGACAGATTTGAAACGAGACATAACGAGCCGAAGAGCTGGGCCTAGTAGTTGGGGTTTCGCGATCAGGAAGTAGTGGTGGCGGTATTCTGGGATGAGCTGAGCCGCGAAGTTCAGGGAACCCAGAAGACTTTCCCAGCATCGTCTTGAGGCATACCCACTGTCCCTCAGGCGTAACATAGAGTTGACGATGGAGGAGGCTGGGTCTGTTGGGAGAGACCACTGACCGGCCTGCAGCAGCCAACGGACGCCCAGCCAGGTGGTGTCTTGGGTGGGCTCTAGCGCAGACTTCTTCCAGTTGATGAGGAAGCCCAGCGATTGGAGGAGGGTCTTCCCCCCCGGAAGAAGGCTCCTCGAGCGTGGAGAGGTGTTCTCTGAATTGCTGAAAATAATATGACTTATGCAAAATGTTGTCCATAAATATTTTGAAGTTCTTGTATTTGTTGCATGTTTGTTGTGAGTCATTTTCTGATCAAGGTGCGAGTGGAATTTTCACTTTATAATGCAAACATGGTGTTAGTACCAAGGCTTTAGTGGAATGTAAATTACTGTGATCACCTACATTGAAAGAGCCCTAGTGATATTTTATGAATTATTTGCTGGGATTGCAGAATACAAGAGGTTAAATTTACATCTAGTAATTTCTGTGACTTGGAATGAAAATTGATATTAAGAGAAGTTGAAAGGGTGTGTTTTGTATATTGCATAAAATTGTATAACTATTGTTATACAATTTGTTAGGTTACTTCCATGAGCTTCTGCAAAGCAAGCCCGTTTCGCTCAGCCGCTGACGAGCCCGTTAGCTATGCTGTCGTAGGAATAGACTGCCTATGCAAGAAGAAGGAGTTCTTCAAAAATTTCAGTGGCAGAGAAGCAACATAACAAACTCTTTTACTTCCAACACATAATCATCAGTGAGTAAATATATGTCGTTCTAAAAATTATGATTTTTGAAAAATTATGATGAGAGTTGGTAAGTACACAGACGCACTGTCCATTGCCTCAGAAAGAGTTTAAGCAAAATTAAACATTTTATGTTCATCAGTTTTTCCTGAGAAAGGTAAAGATGGATATTACCAAAGAAATTAGATAAAAATTGGTACTGACTTGCTCAAGACATCGCATGGTCTCCTGCAATGATGTCACGGGCACCTCGGTCACTCCCTGCATCCTGATCTCACCACCCACACCTTCACGGATGTGCAGGATGTTGTCATCTCGGGGGCCTGGAGCCAGCAGGTCATACAGGTTTTCTGCATACAGCTGCACACACATAACAATTGTGAATACAAAAAAAAATAAATTTTCCATGGTAATGAGCTTAACATACATCAGTGGTTCCCAAACTTTTGCAGGCTGGAGCACATTTAGCTCCCCAGTGAATTCCTAGCGCCCCTCCCCCTAAATATACATAATATTCACATAGCGCCCCTCACAGACACAAAAAAACACAGATTTTGAATATTTTTCACAATTTACACTAGAAAGTAGAAACCCAGGAGAGGTTCAAAAAATCTAGATCTGGGTTAAAAAGCCCATTGCTGGGAGCCGTGTGCTGCATGTTTTGTGTACAAATTATCAAACAAACGTTGAACTTCTGACTTGGGCTTTGGATTGCCACCCCCCTACCACCTCCTTCTTCCTCGCTGTCCCCCCCCCCATATCTTTCCTCCACCCCCAGAGGGCGGTACTGCCCACTTTGGGAACCACTGATTTACATCAAGTACACTGCTCCTGTACCATCATGCTGCTGACTTGTACTCATGTTCTACATATGTACTATGAGTACTAAAACTTGTAATGAGCGACAGAAACTTTGGATATACAGAAAGTAAGGCAAATAATCAAATCCCACCACTACATTCCTTGAATTACAAACTTCATCATGCGCTGCTTTACCAGCAAGATCCCTGACTTACCCAATTCCAATTCAGTTATACACACCCACAATCCCTTACTTCAATATCAATAGGGATTAACTGAGCATGATTAGTCATTAGCCAGAGTAGTAATCAGTATTATTGCACAGAGCTTTGCTGTAAAACTTTCATTCCTGAGGGTTATCAATTGCTAGATTGTGTTCAAGATTGTGTTCTCAATTGCTAGATTGTGTTCAATAAAATTTAAAAGAAAATAATTTGTTAATATTAATCAGTAAATTAATTAATAATTTAATCAACAAAAAATGATAAAATTTAATCACAATGATCAGAAATGCAGCACAATTTAAATTTTCTTGAACCTATCAGAAAATTTTAAGAAATCGCACTAATGTGTTCAGATTTTTATCCCATGTGTTATTTTAAAGAGAACTAAGTTGCCATCTGAGGAAATAGTCTGCTGGCAGAAGGGATGATAGCTAAAAAAATGTATAGTTATAAATAAATACAACTTATTAAAATGAATCACAAACAATATGACACAAAACATCATCTAATGCTTTTGGTGTTATTTCAAATAAAAAAAATCCATATTAGAAAAAAATGAACAAAGAATGAAATTATTACACATGGGCACAATCAATCAAGTCATTGACTTGCCTCAACAAATGAGCATTTCACCAGGTACTGGTATTCATCCTCCCGCTCCCTGACTGTGCAAAACAAGTCACGGATGGCTCTTGGGATGATACCCATTGTTTCATCGGGGCAGTTTTCCGGTGAGTTTGTACCCATGCTGTAAGTCTTTCCTGATCCAGTTTGGCCATAAGCCAAAATGGTGACATTGAATCCTGGAGATTGTCAATTATCAAATTAGATAAAAGTACTGGTAAGCCAAAATTGTGACATATTCAAGAGAAATATATAAAATTTGAACATAAGATAATATTAGTAAGACAAAATGACAATATATAATCCTGGAGGCATGGAATTAGGAAATTAGATAACAATTTTGGAATGGTGATATTCAGTCCTTGAAAAATTAAATTAGAAACATTTAGGCTGGCGACCTGAGTGAAGTTAAATTCTAGAGACAAATGGAAAAAAATAGTACCAATAATAAATAGAAAAACCCTCAAGGTTTGAGAAGAGTAATTAAAACTCTACATTTCAATGTTCAAGAGAGTTAATTGGAAAAAAATTGATTTAATGTAAGTTAAATGGAAGAGGAAGCTTATGCTGTATCTAAATGCCTACAATAACATAAATACACTATCCCCAATGATTACAAGCAACATATACATGAATTGAAAGCTAGCTTACCATTGTGGATCTCTTTGATTGTTTTGGAGACTGCCGTAGTGTACAGCTCCTCTTGGCTGGCTTCAGGGGGAAACACATAATCGAACCTGAACTGCCGGTTCTGGCCACCCGATTGCACAATGATCTGAAATGAAACACAATTATACAATGAGGTTTTAGAGGCAATGAATTCATAAGCCTTGATAAATGCAATAATCGAAATAAAATTCCTACTTATAAGTGAAATCTTACATCTCCCATGTGACAGTTTTATTAAATTTGTTATCTTTTTGCCTGATCATGAATTTTTATTAACACTTAGATTGAAGATATCCTAATTAATCTAGCGGGAGTCTTGTGACTGCAGAAATATATTACATGCCTGGGCCCTGGGCCTATGTTGTGCATTAATTCTTTCAGAAAAACTGAGTGGCAACTGGCAAGTTCTGATAGAAAAAACTATCTAACATTAGAGCAATAACTACAAATTTGTGCAAAACAGATGTGCAACTTAAGTCTTGAGATTCAGTAGATCCTAATAAAATGAAATTAATCATATTTATCCAATTTTCCCAGGGCAGCAAACAACAAGGAATTGATGATCTAATATTATTATTTTTCATCTATTATTTTCAGAGAAAACTTCTAAATAATCCATTTACTGGTTTAGGCAATGATTAAGTTTTGTGGTAGAAAATGCAAAGGTTCAAAATAAGTGGTAAGTAGAAACAAAAAAGCCAGCTGAACAGTTCTTAGATTGAGTTGCCACCAATGTAAATGTCATCACAGCCCTTAAGTTGCCAACTTCAATAGAAACAATATGTTTTATCAACAAAAATGAAATTTTTCTAGTTTTTAGCACTATAAAAAAGGCTTTGCAGTTGTACGCTTATTGAACCCTACAATTTACAAATCATATATCTGACTGGTATTATGTGGTTATTAGTGAGAAGCAGCCAACCAGCCAGGTAAGTAAAGTGGCAAATCATGTGTTGCCCAGTCATTGATAGCAGGCCTGATCTCTTAGCAGTTCAAAAGTTGCTACTATACAAAATTGTCAAATTTAATTTTTTCTCTATCCATGTAAATAAATTTTAAATTAACAAATCAAAAATTTTCATTACTTTAAGAGTAAAATACACTTCCAATATACAAATAGAATATCCATCCTTGCCAAACCATAATCAATAACATGTAAATTGGCATTCAGCAAAAACTATACCTATATAGATATGTGGCATCTACAATTTTTAATGTTTGATAGTCAGGCTGGAATTCTAGAGTGGTATTAATTAACCAGAGCATATTGGACACAACCAATCAGAGTCAGGAGAAGATGACATCACAATCCCACAACCAATCACAGTCTGGAGTGGATGACATCATGATCCTATCAATCAACCACAGTCTAGAGTGGATAACATCAGAACCAGTTACAATCTGGAGATGGACATGAATCCAGCCAAAAATGACAAGCTTTATGCACTATCCAAGAATTCCAGCCTGCTTGATACCCACTACCCAGTAGTAGTCAGTACCCACATGAGGACTATAGAGCTTTTTAAATTGTGCTTGGATATTGTACTTCAATTTCATTCATAAAATACATTGTTCCTATTGAAGCAGAATGGAATGCTAAAAAGAAAAAGTAAACAATGTCACATTGTCTCTCATCCTCATTAACTGTAAATAAGGCAGAACAGGGTGCATACTGATATTGAGAAAAAAAATTCCATGATTTTTCCAGGACTCTCCATGACCATCAATATAATTTTCCAAAACTTGCATACAACAGGTTTAGCATGACTGAAAGAGTGGCCATGCATATTCCGTCATCTTCTAAAGTTGATAAATAGCAAACGTGTAAATGCATAGAGCAGGCAGACACAGAGGATCAAAAATGACACAAATCTGGAAATCAAGCCCACACTTTTATTATTATGAATTCAATAGTGTCAAATCACAACAAATATTGAGTAATGCACACAATATTGCACATGATAATGTCAATACAGTTCAGAACATGATTCAACACCTGTACCCTAACATTCAACTGGCAGCTATTTCATCAACTTTTTCTTTAATGTTCAGTTCAAGAGTGTCTAGCTCCTGTTGCTTTGATTTCAAAGATCGCCTCATGACATTGAACTTTGCGACGATTTTCAAATCCCCACTTTCTCTCCATTGCTTCCGCATATTCATCTGCTGCTTGCTCAAGCGCCTTGGTGCCCTCCTCTGTACGCATTTTCTTCTTCTTCAGTTCATCTAGCTCATCCAACAGAGCCTTCCTTTTCTGGGTTTTCTGGGCCTTTGCATTCTGCTCTTTCTCTTCTGCTACATAATTGTTGCAGGATGTTTTGACACTGCCAGCTGCAAGCAGCATCTTCTAGGTGATGGTCATCTTGTCCAGGCCACCAACATGTGAAACATGATCAACCCCAGCAGGCAAGTCAACCACCATTCACTCTTTCATGTTGTGTGTCATGATTTCCTTGTTGAGCCAAAACCCTCTTTCAACCGTGGCTTGGCCATGAGACAGGAGTATGAGCATTTGCACTACATTCCAGAGCTTCTTGTAGGTGCTCTTTGAAAAAATGGCATACCAAAAAGTGTCCAGTTGATCAGAAGTTGAAAATGCTTGAAACTGTGCGTTCAATTCACTGCAATATTGTGATTCATCTCTTAAGTTGCACATTTCATTGCACAACACCATCCACATCTGTGTTAGGGAATCTTGTGGCATCAACAAGCAAAGTGAGACAGTTCAACTGTGTCTTGTTGGCTTCCTTACAGTCCTTCTTGATGAAGGCTTTTGGCACCAGCCATCTCAGGTTCCTACCAAGGACATAATTCCTACCATGGGGGCGTTGAAGAGGGCCGCAGAACATTAGCTATAGTATACAGTAGAATCATTCATTCACATTGCACCTTAATGTATTTCATGTTTTATTTCATTACCTTTTGAGTGTCATGTGCATCTTATTAATCTTGTATCTTGTTCCACCTTGGTGTAATATTTAAGCAGAATAAAAGTTAATGAGACGAAATTCTTGCAAGCCCATATGATATGCACTTTTGATTAATCTGCACCCCTGGATTGCTGAATTGGAAATTCACGTGTTGCACCTGATTCTTTTCTGACCATCAAAAGCCTGCTTAAGATGCTTTATTGCACGATTTGACCTACACCTCTGCTTGCTAATCCCATCCTGATGCTCCATTTTGGTGAGTACAGTGCATTTCAGCTCATTAAAATGTCACCATGTGTATATTTGTCATTACTGAGCTCTTAACAAATGTTTTCCAGTTATTCATGCCTGCTTATAACAAATGAAGGATGGTTTTCACTGGTTCTCATGTTAATCCTCTCCTTTTATTGCACAATTTTCATTTTGCTTACTTGAACCATGTTGTGTCCACCCATGAATAACTTACTTTCTGCAACCCCTTCCATGCATTGATGACTTTGTGTGTGACAAAACAGTTTAAATATCCTCCTGATGTCAATATTTCTAGAAGGCTAGTTCTTATGAACGCATNTAACTGGGCCCTTTGCTTACTGAGGTTCTACTGTAAATGCGGTTTTGGGGGTGTCCCGAGTAACCCCGCCGTGCGGAAATGGCCGCCATTTTTTTGAATGAGAATGACGTAGGACAATTCCATCAATTACGTTTTCAAGCCGACACCTGGGTGCATCTTTTATGTAAGTAAAATTTTTTTAGCATTTTTCAACATTTTTTCATGAATTTTTCAAAGCTAGTAAATGTAGTATTTTTCAACTTCCTTTATACTACATAGATAGGAAAAATGTTGACGTTTACGCCACTATATTTAGTTTTGCAATATTCCTATAAGTTTTGCTACTATAACAGTTTTACGCCGTGTCAGACGACTGTCCCGAGTAGCCCCGCCAGTCCCGAGTAGCCCCGGTTGATGGTAGTCGTACACGGAGATGGCTCTGCTTCAGGACAGAAATTTGGTACTTTTATTCTCATAATTTTAAAAAATGGATTCGATTCAAAATTGTGTGTTTGAAGACTGCATTTTATAGGAAACAATCTATATTAGTGCCTGGTAAAATTATCGCAGTGTAGGTAAACTAGAAAACACCTGAAAAAAATTGCACCTGAGGTTGTAGTGTGACACGACAACCCGTGGCAATTAGGGGTTAACAAAAGCAGCACAGAAAAATACTTTATTTATTTATTTGCAAATTCCAGGACTTTCCATAACCTGAAATGAAATTCCATGACTTTCCAGGCCTGTAAAGTGAAAAATCAAATTCCAGGACTTTCCAGATTTTCCATGACCAGTACACACCCTGGCAGAAGCCTTATTTTGTGAATAACAAGGCTTATTGTGAAATCAAACTTGACATTACCAAAACAAGGTGTGTGCTGTTTTGTCAAATGTTTACATGGAAGCAAAATGCCCCCATATGCCATGAAAGATTTGCAGTTTATCCCATCATTTTGTATGGTATTGAAAACTTTGTTGGTATTGGTGAAATTGTGAGAATTTTTGGTGAAAGTTGATATTTATATTTTAGAACATATTCATTGCAAAAATTTGTCAGTTACAGATAAACAACTAGTAAATGTAATTGCCGACCCAGTATTGGATTCCAAACCAAGGCCCATGCGCGATATAGTATCCACGGCAGTTTCTGTCTAGCTTAGTGTATCAATTGTCACTGCAGTGGAAGGTATAATGTGGTAGGCATTGCAAGACCTATGACATATTAGTAAGACCTGAAAACAGGGCTGGAAAAGTTCTATTTTTTTCAGAAGTGTGCAGATACATTTTGTCAAGGGACAAGAGACAGAAAACTTATAATACTCAATATGCATTTAATTATCCATCAATAATATATGATTTTCCTTGATATGGAAGTTTTGTAAAAGTAAAAATCTAGAAATTTATTTTAGAAGAAATTTTCTACAAATTTCTTATATGAACATCATTTGTTTACCTTCCATAGACCATCCAGATGTGAGGCAATATTCTGTCCAGATGTGATGCAAGTGGTGAATAACCAAGTCCTCAGAAATTGGGCATATTTAGTAAACAAATATTAGTGTTAAATGACAGATTTTGCTTGTTCTATATACCTATACTATTAGTGCGCTGATAGGGCTATTAAAGGTTCTACGGTTAATGAAAGGAGTCAGAAATAATTTCATCATTCCAATTAATGGAAAATAGTTTTGAGTGCAAAATCTTTCATAATTAAAATATGTCTAGACATAACTGTCATCAGAAATTCCCAATGTAATGGTATGGCAACATTGTCTTTATAGACTTTTATGCAATGCCGATACATTGTCATGTGTCATGTGATGTGTATCTTGAAGCTATTCATAATTTATTAATGTTTGTTGTTTGTTTATATAATTAACCTTCAAAGTTGCAAAAAATGAGAACTGGTAATAAAAAAATGGTGGTGTCTGTATTTTGTATTCAATGGGTTTGCACCACACAAACCAATTTCACCAGCCGGGAGGATGTTGGGAACATACAGTATTCCCAACATTGACATTCGGGTTTGTACCATTTGCCAAAATCAGTCCTTCATTAGAAGGCACCAATCTCAAGCCATGTGGATTGTCACCTTCTACTATTCAGTTTTGTAATTCATTTCCAACCGAATTGTGATATATGAATAATGAATAAATAATCAGCACTGTGCCAACTCCTAGAACCTGAGTTATCACGTTAGAAATCTAGTCAACTTGATGCAGATATTTGTTCATGTGTGAACACTGTGATAGCCAGTGTGGAATTCTTTATAGGTAATATATCCTCATGTTAATGTAAGAAAATGTATTGAAAAACCAACCCTACCACATTAAACCACCTTCCATTGCAGTGAAAATTGATACACAGACACTGAGCACTGAGCTCATTAGAAACTGCTGCACTTCGGAAATCGCGCATGGTTTGAAATCCAATCCCGTGTTGCCAACGCCTAATCAAGTTAACTAGTCATTTATCTGTAGGCTAGTGGACAAATTTTTGCAATGAATACGTTCTAAAATAAAAAAAAAACACATTCACAATCGTAAAAAATTCTCATGATTGGACAATACTACCAACAAAGTTTTCAATAACACACAAAAGTATGAGATGAACTTTAACTCTTCCAAGGCGTACACATTCACATCATGCTTCTACGATCATATCTGATATGGCGGTGTCACACGCATATCTTTTGGTCATGTCGTTTGATTTCACAATAAATAGACTTGATCCACATTCCATACTGACATTTAAATGATGGAAAGTTGTTTCAAATTATAAATACCCATTGATACGCATCCAGACATACATTTTTTTCATGTTTTTGCCCTATTTTGTCAATATTGTCTATATAATTAACTTCACTTCAGATTCTAAATGATTTCGTCTCCCATCGCGAGTTTTCGAACGCCTCACGTCTTTTAGAAAATATTCATTGTTGAAGCAGAAATTATTGCAATATATCATCATTCAGAGCTTAGACATGTACCATGAGTTGTATTAAATAATAAAAGTTATTTTAATAAAATTTGATTTCTAATTTGAATTTTCGAATCAAATTTCTAACTAAACATTTTTTTAATGGAATTTAAATCAACAGCATGTACCATTTAGTGTACGGTATTAAATAATTATATACTAATGTCAACAGTCAACACAATGTTGCCATACGCCGTGAAAGTTTAGCAGTTTATCCCATCATTTCGTGTGGATTCGAGAACTTTGTGGGTATCGATGAAATCGTGAGAACTTTCTGCGAAAGATGACGTAATTTTTATTTTATTTTGGAACATATTCTTTACAAAAAATTTCTCGATACGCATACACGACTAGTGTTTGCCTTTGGGAAGAGTCGCCGACTTTTTATCGGTTTTTGAACCACACGCAAGCGAGATAAAGGAAGCGCGGCTGTCCGGGTGTCCGCAGTTTCTGATCTGACGAGCTCAGTGTAATGAGTATCAATTGTCACTTTGGTGGAAGGTGTAAGGTGGTAAGTTTTCGATACATTTTATTATATTAACATGATAATATATTACCTATACAGAATTCCACACTGCAGTTCAGAGTAAATTAAACAGTGGAAGCTATTAATCTTGTTTAAATGAAAGAGTTTTCTATTAAAAGTATATTTATGGATAGTAGAGCAAAACAAATGAAACAAGTGAAGAGTGTGGCATCGATCAGTGGCTTCAACTGTAACTGGTAGTTCCACTGATAAGGGTTATGAGAACTGTTGGCTGTTCTAGGCCAAAACCTTAGTTTATAGGGAGCACAGGGTAGGACTAGACACTAGAGTGACAGTGACACAGCAAGAAAAATAAATGGAACATAAATAACCCTAGTGCTAAATAGTGAATTCACACGCAAAATAATTCAATCTCTTACCCAATGCCAGAATTTAATCTAAAATATTTATAATGACAGAAAATGCATTAAAAACTGTGACCATCAAACAAGAAATAATCAATTAATTCAAACAAGAACATTACTTCAGTAATCAAGATAGGCTTGGATAACTAACGCATGAATAAGCAAATGATCATTACCAGTATAATGAAAAGGAATTTACCACTTATGAAAGAATTACAATTGATTTGACAAAATGACTAATGCAGTACACAAAATGTTCCGATTTCGGAGAGCAGACTTACCCAGGTTTGCACTTCCAGACTAAACACAAATACACGGAATGCCAGTGGCTGCTAGTTACTAAATGACGGAACTGAATTGAACGCGACTGTCGTTAGTTGTGCAAAAATTACTCTGAATCAAAAATGGAAAATAATTAAATCGAGTCAGAAGTTACTGAAAAATAATGAATTAAAACACAGACTGGTTGAGAGATAAAAGGGTCAGATGCCTTCTGGCAACAGTATCAGGATTTCAATCACAGAAATTTGGGTACGAGTATTTAAAATTCATCATTTGATGCATGAATAAATTAGACAGACAATTAATTTTATCGATAGAGTTACACGGCCTGTTGCTTATTTGAAACTGCCTCTTTGGTCCATATTCCCCAAATCCGATAGCAAATACCCTAAAATTTCGCGGAAACATGCCATGTTAATAGATTGTTTTATATACAAACAACGGCAATATTTCATGTAATAGAAATGTAAACTAAAACGCTAAACTTCCTAATTGCTATTCTTTTCAGAAAAACTTTGGGTCTATGTGAACACGAGTCAAGTGGCGAGATAATACCGCAATACTTAAATCGATGCTGATTATTGTTTCCCACGTTCAATAATGGGGAAAGAATAACAAGAAACAACTGTGATGACATTTCATAACATTATGAATAACAATATAACATTATTTCATTGAAATTGATTTTATTTCTAACAAAAACACAACTTATCCTTCCGCACATAGAGTAGTTTGTGAACATGGAAATGATGGAACCGATATCGTGACTTAATATTCAGTGAAATCCGAACAAAGTATTGAATGTCAATTCTCATTTAGCAGTGCTCATTTCAGCAACATGAGCGCATTATTCAAAGGAATACGAAGTTTTTTGAAAAAAGAGGCGATATCCACGCACGAGCGTCATATCCGTCTTCCAAGGTACTCATAAGAAAAAAATATTTGTCCTATGTACCAAGACGTCTCGGACAAATTTACGGCCGGACCCAGTGACTCGTATTCATAACGTGCACTATCATTTCTTGCGAACGTTATAATTATTTTTCTTTACTAAATCCCACAGCTCGTTGAACACCATTTTTGAAGCTTTATGTGGCATCTGCCGGCAAGTGCTCGAGACGCGGCAGAGAGGGACAACAATGTGTTGTTTTCTTCGCCGAACACGAGGTTTATTTATACGAGAAGAGGCCAGTTGGGCTGCTTCAGCCATGATGAGAGCATTTGTACGCTCGTGTGAAGCATCTTGGATCGAGTGTATCATGGCTTGTTTGAACGAGAATGGTTCTAAGAAGAACCAACAGAGTGGAGTCCAGACGATATTCAATTGTTCTTTGAGATATTCCAAGATATGAACTTATGTGGAATGTTCGCTATGCCGGTTACCCCAAAAAAATGAAGAGAGAAACGAGTATTTTGCAACTGGAAGTAGACCTTATTAGTCAGAGTTGAGATGCTCCCGACGTTGCATTTTTATGAGCCAGAATAAAGAGTATAAAAACAACGTACAGACTCGAGATGGTGAAGCCTGAAGGTGATCTCACTTTCCATTTTCACAGACCTCACTCGACGGCTTTTAACGACGCATTGGCGGGCACGAACGAGAAGATATCGGCACCTTATACTGTCCTCGTTGAGATAGATAGGCACCTTATACTGTCCTCGTTGCGATAGATAGGCACCTTATACTGTCCTATAGTTACCAAGCGGCAGACATTTGCCTGATGTACTTGCCGCCTGCACTGTCTTCGTGTACAAGCACCTATCTTCATTTATTTTCTGGACAGCGTCGTGATCAACTGCCAGACCTCTCATCCGACCACTTACCCATTATCATCACACTGCCTTCCACCAAAGGCACCAACTGGCACACATCACAAACCATTCGCAACTACAACAGAAGCTCCTGGGAAGAATTCACAAGGGAAACGAAGGTCTGCTTCCAGGAGCTGAACACACAACCCATCACCAACATTGACCACACCCTCACCCACTTCAACACCATCATCGCCGAAGCTGATAAGAAATATGTCCCCAAGGGAAACAGGAAAAAGTACAACCCTAATTTCACACCTGATATCTCCCGTCTCATCAGAACACGCAACAACCTACGATGCACACCAACACCACTCTCACAGGCAACTACAGACCACATCCACGAACTGAATGAACAAATCAAAACCTCTATAAGGAACAGACAGAAGCAACGCTGGGAAGAGTTCGTGGCGACACTAGACCACAGGACC